TACATGTCCCGTACGGGGATTCTCGCCCACGTAGCGCGCCTACGTATCGACGAGTACATAACTTGAGCATTCAGATCCTCACGACCTTGAGATGAAACCAGACGCCAGTACTCTTCCCGTCGCAGCTAAGCGAAGCGAGATATGGAGTCGACACCCAATCACACAATCGATGTTCTTGTGGTGGGCAGCGGCGCTGCTGCTCTGGCGGCCGCTGCCACAGCCAAGCAACTTGGTCTTCGCACTTTGGTCATCGAGCAAACCGATAAGATAGGAGGCACAACAGCGTATTCTGGAGGCACCATATGGATCCCTCAAAATTCGGTCTCCGAAGCAGCCGGTTGTAACGACTCCCACGACGCCGCCCGCCAATATCTGCAAGATTCGCTTGCGCTTAGCGGAGGCGCCGGGCCGGAATCCACCACCGCGCGGATCGACGCCTTCCTGGCTGGCGGACCCGCGATGGTCAATTTCTTCCGCCATCTAGGCCTCCGGTGGAGACATTCTCCAATCCCCGACTATCACCCGGAGATTTCGGGTGCCATGGAGGCAGGCGGGCGGACGCTAGACCCCTGCCCCTTCGACGCCGGCACGTTGGGATGCTGGGCTGATCGCCTGCGCCGGCCTGGACACTCGGCACCGGTGGCTTACTTTCACGACTTCGCCATTCTGACCAAGCCTTACGCGTCCGCCATCGACCTTCTCACAGTTTGTTGGATGAAGCTGCGGGCGGTTTTCCGGAGCAAAACCATGACCAGGCCGACCTGCATGGGCGCTTCACTCGTCGCACAGCTCTTAGACATTTGCCTTCGTGAGGGGGGTACGGCCGTCCAGGTTCAGGTGAACACCAAATTCAAGGATCTGCTCGTCGAAGGGGGAGCCGTCTGTGGCGCTGTTGTGGAGTCGAAAGATTCTGGGGTGTTCAAGGTCTACGCTCCCCACGGGATCCTCCTGGCAGCCGGTGGTTTCGCTCGACGTGAAGACCTGCGGCGGGAACACCTGCCCCTCATCGGGACCGAGTGGACGCTGACACAACCTGAAGGTGACACGGGAGATGCTCTGGAAGCAGCGTGCAAGGTCGGTGCGGCCACGTCGCTCATGGGCGAAGCGTGGTGGATCCCCACAATCATCGATCCTGGAAGCGGGAGGCTCACGACCGCCTTGTTCGAGCTGTGCAAGCCCCACTGCATTGTTGTCGACCGGCAAGGGTCAAGACTCTTCTCCGAGGCCGACCCGTACGGCGACGTGGGTCGTGCGCTCTATCATCGGTCTCGAGGCGATGACACCACTGCCTGGTTGATACTTGACTGGAACTACCGGAATCGGTACACTCTAGGGTCGCTTGGCCCTAGGGTCGAGCCGGTTGACGCCCTGGCTCGCGGACACATCTTCAAGGCAGATGACCTGGCCAGCCTCGCAGCTCAAATCGGCGTCGAAGCCAACGGTCTGTTACGTACGGTTGGGAGGTGGAACCAGGCGTGCGACGACGGAGTCGACCATCAGTTCGGTAAAGGCCGCAGCAAGTACCACCTCTTCGTCGGGGACGGAAGCGCAAAGCGGCCAAACATGGGAACCATCGATCAACCCCCATATTACGCCATACAGGTGACTCCGGGAGACGCGGGCACCAAGGGCGGCCTGCTGACGGACGAACATGGGCGCGTGGTAGATACACGTGGTAATGCTATTGACGGTCTATACGCGGCCGGCAACTCATCGGCATCGGTCATGGGTGCTACGTCGCTGGGAGCCGGGGTCACTCTCGGCCCAGCTATGACATTCGCTCATCTTGCGGTACTCCACATGTCCGACAGGCGGAAGGCTAGGGGCGAGCGAGGCTTTTCCTTACCCGGTCAGGAAGGTAGCGATAAAGATGCATAGTGATATCGCGGTGTGCTGGTCGGTCGGCTAGATTCTAACAACCGTGTCAAAAATGACCAGTTTCCCAAGTTGAAAGATTTACTCTTGAGTGCCTTGTTATCATGCTTGTGCCCAGAGTGACCAAAAAGATGTATCGTCTACCTCGCATCAGCCATCCGCTGAGTCAGAATGTCATATAGACGGAACTATTTGATATCTTGAATGTGTTGGTCTTTACCACTGTTTTATCATAAGTAAGCCTCAGGCAAGGCAGCGCACTTTTCTACATCGCGAAACCATGGATACGATACCGGTTCCTCGGGCACACGTTGCCTAAGTTGTTGCCTGAATCTGCTTGTTAACTATTGAGCCTTCTTCCGAATCGGCATCTGGGCATTACGGACGTTCACTGAATCTTGATAAACCACACCTGCAAAAGTATAGCTTTCGTTGTCCTTCTATCGCCTCAAATATAGGTCACGACAAGATGTTCATCGGCAACTGATCAGCTGGCGCCGTCTACATACACCTTGATCGTAGCTCTGACCTTCTCATCCACCGACATCTAAAGCTTCGCCTTCCGAGGCGGCTTTCCTGTGTCCTCCCACTCATTGCCATAGATAGGCAACCGCGTAAGAAAATTCTCCAAGGCCTCGCCATTGACGATGGGAGCTGTGATGTAGTCTTGCGCATTGGTCCTTTTTACCAGGTCCGGCAACAGAGGCATCAAATTAGTAAACGCCCTCTCCTCTGCCGTCCAGATCCGTGTCCGACTGTAATTGCCATGCTCGATGTGCCAGCTAGCGTCTTCTTGGATACAACATTTCTCGAAGAGATCGAGCACTTCCGGAATCACATTACCAGAATGCAGTGCTGCCTCGTAGGCCATGCGTTGTCCGATAGCCTCCACCATAGCTCGGCAGCAAGGAAGGACCGCCGCATTGAACTCGCTGCTGCGGTGACCGCTAGGTAGTGCGGCCATTCTCGCCGCCATCTCGTCGAATACTCCCCTCTCGTACATGGCCAGAGGGCTACTTCGATCGCCCGGCTGAGGCAGGCAGTATTTCTGTGCTAGAAGCTCCGACGCCAGGCCTGTCCCATGAGTTAGTCGGTGGATCTCAATTCATGCATGAAACACATACGGATGCTGATGACCAGCGTGTCACCCTCTGCGACTGAATTCCCCTGGAACGTAGACGCCAGCTCGCTAATCTGGTTGTGGGCATATAACCCCTGCCACCCGCATCGTTCGGCAAGCTCGACGAGCAATCGAGATGAACGCACAACCAGTGCTTTGAATGCGGTCGCAAGACCTCTGCGGACGTCGGCGGTGGCGTCGGGGTTCATGAATTGCTGGACGGTCCATTCGCCATAAGCATGCAGGACCTCCCCGAAGGCCAGCGCCTTGAGTATGGGGCGCTGCTGCGTGCTGAAGCTCATGATAGACACCACTTGCCCGTGATTCCCGACCCCGACCTGCCGACGCTGGCTGTACATGGCCGCGATGCACCCGGCCACCTTCAAGGCGGACACGCCCATAATGGACAATGACAACGTCCCCACGGAAACACGCCAGATCTGGTCCAGGAACTCTGCCCGCTCGTCTTCGGCTTTCGCGGACGAACCAAGCAGCGCTTCGGCAGGAAGCTCGACGTTGTTGAATGTCGTGATGGAATGGTCCAACGGTTTCGTGCCGGGCCGGACCGGCAGGGCCCGCGACACGATCCCGGGGCGCATTCGGGTCGAGTCATTGATAGGAACGATGAAGGGCTTGACGCCCCGGCTCTCACCCTCGACCAGAAGGCGCGCAAAAACCACTGCTATACGAGGAATCCCGGCCAGAGGGGCGGTTGGTGGCATCGCTTTGGCGGCCCCGAAAGCTGGCGTGTGCAGCACGAAAGACCCATCGTCGAGCATCGTCGCCGTCGTGTCGAGGTTTTTCGCATCAAGGCCGTGATCGATTTCCGTCAACATGAATTCGCCGCAAACTTTGAACTGTCGCAAATCTTCGAGGAGGGGTGCTAAATCCGGTCGCTCATCTGCGAAACGGCCGATTGTTCCGATACAGAGGTTCAAGTGAATCGTCGCGATCACGAATGCAGTCATATCTCGAGCGGCGATCACTAAAGTGGCTTAGCATCAGACACTCCCTTGCGATCGAGGGTGACGTACTATCGAAGTGAAATCGCCAGAAGTTGGGCGAGAGGTGGAGGATGTCGTAGACCGTCAAGCCTGTAGCCGATTAGACGACGTCGTTTCGACACGTTTGCTCCGTGTACTTACCACTTCTGCGGCAGAGGTCTCTCGCCCGCCCATAGTGAACCTGAATGGCATCCTTAGTGACTTCATGCCGCGGTTCCCTTGCTGCATTCCACAAATCGCACCGTCCGTCGAAAGGTGTTGACAACATCTCGCAAGTTGTTGGACAGTTGAATTGGAGATGTCGGTGCCAGGAGGGTGATGGTTCTATACAGGGCGGTGCTGGGATCCTCTACGCTTCCGCTTACGTGTGTGAGAAGACTCCTGACTGTGGATTCCCTCATTGATCGCCATAGGTGATGTATATAAACCGTAAAATTATGTTCTTCCTCCAGGTCGGGTGCGGCATGGTCTTCCTTCCAGCCTTGGACCCACTCCGCGGCGTCTTTCGGCGACGAATCCGAAAGTAAATTGCGCCAAAAGAATCTATGTTGACCAAAATGGATGTTGGCACGTCCGAGACGTCAAATTTCCTTTCTGTTACCCTAAGTCGCAGAAAGAGCCTCGGTAGTAGCGTCTCCTTGCTGCTCTACCGTGGCGCGGCAGCAGCGTTGATAAGGGGCAATGTTCTCGGTGGTCACAGTGCGCCTCCGACGTCTCTACGACTTCATTCACTGTCCATCGGCCGCGTCCTCACTCCACGTCACCCAGTCTATCTTGCGGTTCCCAGGCAGTGCCGCTAACAATGGAACTACGGGATGCTGCCTCATATCCTCGGGAGTCAACATCTATCAGCGATGGGGAAGAGCTTCTCCCATTCCAAGCCACCTTCGACGCTAGCCATGACTTCGGCAACGACTCCTTCGACTGGGATGGTAGCCTTTCCTTGGAATCCTGCTGTGTGCCAGATATCTTCCCTTTGGAACTTGCCTCGAGCACGGTGTTCGACGACATAGGCATGAGGTCCAGCGCGTCACCTGCTTCAGCTCAAGCCGAGACCGGCAGGAAACAGAAGAAAGAAACGTATGCGGATCTGATATACAAGGCGCTCATCAGCCAAGACGCACATCAAATGACGTTAAAGGACCTCTATCAGTGGTTCATAGATAACACCGAGAAGCCAAAGGAACGGCAACGAGGCTGGAAGAATAGTGTCCGCTCCAACCTTAGTCTGAACCAGGTTAGTTCTTATGTTTGCAGCCTGCTCGGATTGCCTCCAGAATCTTTCTCTGTTTTTCTGCTTTTCCGTTTTTCGGAAACTAGAAAGAAGACAGAAACGAAAAGTGACAGCGCCTGCGTACGTCCATAGAAGCGAAATTGGTTAACGTTGTTCGCTTAGGCATTCCAACGACTTGAAGGCAAAACGTCTCGCTGGAGTCTCGCAGCTTGTTTCGTAGAGGGCATCCGTCCAACGCATAACTACCGAAACTCCCGAAGGAGAAAAAACCCCGTCATATCGACCAAGAAAAACAGAATGGTGGCCCCTAAACCTCTGGTCTCGAGGATTCGCAAGGCCCGGAGCAAGAACCTCAGACGTCCCGCAAGCCGTATCGACCCCCAATCTTCAGATGGCGTCTCGTCCTACTCGTTACAAAATCAACTGTTGGCCGAGCACATCCCTGACTTCCAGAAATGGGGTTCCACAGCCACCATCCAGGCTTCCTATTCCATGATGTGGGATGCAGCATGGCCTCTTGGGGGTTCCAAGTATGAGCCTGCGTGGATCGATTTGGAGACGCATCTGCCATGGTGCTGTGCGTTTTCCCCTTCCCTTGGGCTGTGGTAAACCCTACTCCTAAAGGCAAAGTAGGTCACTCCTTCCTCCCTGCCAAACGTTTGAGATGAATCGGCTGTGTTCGTCCTCAAGTGTGAAGATACATACGTATCCTTGGAAATACAGACCTGAACAGAGTCTTCTGCTGGAGGGCTAGGGCTGAGCGCATATACTGTTGAGAAGTTTGCTTTTGACTCCAAGTAGCTGACGCACAGAAATCACAGCTCTACATTACTACATCAAGGGAATCTACAAATCTTCTGGGACGGACTTTTCACCATGCTGAACAGGAAGACATCTTCAAGTTTACGGGTAGCCGGCGAACGATATCACTTGTGGATACTGCTGGTTCGGCTCGTTAAAGTGTCGCCGTGATCAGTGCACGTGCGCAGCTGGGCGGTTCAAAAGAACGAATTAGTGTGAGAAACAGTCAATAAAGCGAGACCTCGGGAAACGCCAGTTTTCTACATAATTCTATGGAAGTTTAGCTATGTAACTTGTTGGAAGGGTGCCTATCAAGCTGGCCGGTGCAATAAGATTGATAGAGAAACAAACGGCTTGACAGTATTCTTCTCAAGATAATCGAGAGATAATAGAGGTCCCATCAGGCGATTCAATCATGCCCAGAATGATGTCCTTCACCCTTTCACTATCATTGACAAGGAACTCGCCGGTTCCGTCCTCTTCGAGACTTCCCAAAGCGGAGACATGTGTACGGTACACGAACTCGTTGATGGCGCGTGCAAAGTCCTCGGGCACCTTATTCCGCACTCGATCATTCCCAGACCTCTCATGCATCTTCGCCACGAGACCAACGCGGTGGTATCTCTCGTAGTACTCTACAAGGGAGTTGATCGACTCGGTGGTCAGCTTGAAGGCCACCTTGTCCCGATCCCTCATGTCGACGTGAATGATGTATGCCTCGATGTGGATAAGTCGGAAGTCGGACAATCGCTCGACATCTTGAATAAGGTTTTGGCGTAGCTCTGACTCTGGAGGATTGGGCACCATGATGCATGCAAGATACCAAATGCTTTTAGGAGTCGAGAGCGTTTTGATCATACATGTTTGGTGATGGAGGACGCTGTCGAGTGGTTCCATTTGTTTCTCAACGCTCCGAAGCGTCTGAGCCAGCCATGGCTGGATCGTAGGGCCCAGATCAATGATAGGTGCGATAGCTCGGGGGTCGCAATTCGCCACCGAGGTGTGTGTGAGAGCGTGCACCATCTCTGCAACCAAGAGATCTGGAGGAAATGCTGATGTCAGATGATACTATAGAGAACTTGGAGATAGGCCTTTGGGATGGCTGGGAAAGGGGGATTGCGGTGTCAAAAGGAGTTCGTACCGAGAAAACCTCGCCGCAGCAAGATATTCCAAAAAGGTTGATTCACCGGTTTTTGTGATGGGTGTTGATACTCGGAGACGCGTCGGTGTTCAAGAGGTTGAGAATTCAGACTTTAAACTACCAGCACTTATGAGATGATGCCCATTTGGCTATCGAATGACATGCGAGGCTTTCCTTGGACAGCGGTAACTAAAATGAATCAGTGTCAGAACGATGCAAGGATGAAGGTCAAGATAGGAAGAACGGGGGATGAGATGAATGGGCGCTGGTTTTATACACCAAAAACTAGCTGCATGCCATCTTTCCTAACCGTAACCTGTAGCAGACCCACCGGAAAAGGGGTCTGTACAAGAGCTATCTGGTCTTCGCTCTTCCGGTACCATTGCAAGAGGACGCGGGGGTCAGTTTCATAGGGAGGGATGCATGCGTATCCACACGTTGGCAGATGCGAGCCAACGTACACATCAGGTCGGCTCGTGGAGCACAGTACACCATGGCCCATTGGGTTAAGTCTTCCATTCTCCTCCCCATCCTCTCTCTTTTCCCTGACCCCTATGGATCACTTGTCTACACTTGTCCACACAAGTTCATGTCTAGCATGCTACACGGCGTAACCAGAGATGCTGGAGCCAGTTCTTGTACATGGAATGAAGCCTGGCCGTGTCTTAGCATTATCGGACAACGTAACGGTGTTGCTAGGAAAATGGACGTCTTAATGTAGGTGATCGTGACAGAAACGGTGAGATCATTGATAGAAGACCCTTTCCCTGTCCGTCTTATGCGTGAGAGATAAGGAAACACAAAACCACAGGTGTACCTAGAACGAGCCACCTCTCTTCTCAGGTTGCTGGATACATACCGTGTCTTGCAGATTGGACAGAAACATCCCGGTTCGGCCTTTGTATTTGCACACATGATGAAGAAGATGACATGTTAAATCGAATATGCCTCGCCACTTGGTAAGATGCAAAGATCTACTTCGCACTGCTAGACTGAGGCTCTCTGAATTGCGTGGCTTGCGGTCGAGTCACGACAAAGCCTCCAAGTAGCACACCTGGGTCGCACATAAACTATACCTACACGATGACCTTGAAATTAATCATGATTACAGGGGTCTTTGATTGAAGAAAGGACGTCTCAACCGGGAGAATCGGTCTTCCAGGCAATGCGACGAAAACATTGTTCCATGTTCAAGCGAAAGTCACAGACACGGAGCAAGTTGTCTATTCAATTCATTGTGCCTCCTAGCGTTTGTGATTCAACCTCTCTTCGTCCTGTTCTTGGAGCTAATAGACCCCGGTGTATTCAAAGTACGTATACGAATATTCCCCTTGATCACAAGTGTATCCAGAGCATGGCAAATTAAGTGGCCTGACGCGCTTAGCGGAGTGGCGGAGGATTGAGGTTGTAGACCCAGCTTCTAGCCATGCCATTAATCCCGAGCAGTTGAAAGTCCTACGGATATCTTTGATCTCATATCACGAAGTTGTGCGGCCGCCAAAAAAGAAACAATGTCGACCCGAACTTCACGAACCTGGGACGATGACTACCTGTCGTTTTCTGGCACAAAAGATTCAAAGCCTCCCCCCTCTTCGGCTACGTTCCGCGTTGACCTATGAAGGGACGCTTTACAAACCTACTTGACTAGAACGCGATCATCAGAAAAAACGAGAGCGCTCACTGGCTTGCGCGTATTGCTACTATGGTTCTCTATCTGTCTACTGTACTGATGGCCAATGCGCTGCGACCATGGCGGGCCGGCGGAATTGGAAGGGATCTGCGACTGAAACGGCCCATGGCTACAAGGTCTGCGCCAACTAAAAAGATGGTAGGACCATCCACTGCGCCAGATGAAGGACGAGATCTGAGTCGGAGGCGCTTGTACTGGAGCTACAGTACGAGCATACTAAGGTGGAGGCTATGACCTCGAAAGCCATAATTGCCTCCTCGGGCCAGCAGTTTTCTGGGTACAAACTCGATGCAGAGCCCAGAGCTGTCTGGATGTCGATAAAAGAGTTCAATCCAACCGCTCGCTAGTAAGATATGTCGCCAAGGGCTTCTCGTGTAATCAGCGTTCACCGTCCAGAGTTGCATTGGCCGGTTACAGTTCGCCGCCAACATTTTGGGCGAATCAACAATTGAATCAAAACCCGTACGCTCTTCGCTATCCATCTTTGCCATGGCTGCGCCGCAGCACATGGTCGATTCCTCGCTTGATGATCTCACGCCAGGACTTGTCACGCTCGTCATAGACAAAGTGGGTGCCAGTATTAATCACTGCCGCGCTCACGCTGCAGCACAGGATGAAACGATACGCAGGCTCGCAGCAGAGATCAACAGCGCGAGGGAGACTGGGGAGCTACAACTGAAAACCCTGGACAACCAAGGTGCCTATATCAGAAGCCTGGAACACGATATGGCGCAGCTGTGAACGGCAACTTCTAAGCGCACAACACGAATCTCGCCACAACATGGGAATCTTTCTTTCACCGATAACAATCCACCGTGGAGACCTGAAACACGATTTTAGGACATCTTGATTCAATCGCATCAGAATTCATGCGAGGGCCTTGCCCTGCTACTGGCGCCAGTAGAGACAGAGGCAAATAATACTTCTGTCTCTCACACGACGGCGGGTGGATGGCGAGCGACGTCGGGGACGACATGGAACGAGACTGACTGGCTGAGTCCGGGTGACGCGAATACCAAGGCATCATCGGCTGTGTCGAGAGTGTGAGAAACGGTGACTTTCAGAATCATGTTGGCACAAAGGCTAGTCGTCAGCGCATGTAATATAACTAGACGTTGTCGAAAGTGGGGTTCATGACTTCTCCGAACAACGCTGGCCATGCAGACGGCAACATAGCCCCGCGTAGTCGCTTTCGCACATGCAGTCAATTCATGCCTTTACTTATTCATTCTACTAGACAAGAAGTGTGTAGTTTCTGGTGAGTCTCGTCACCTCTGAGCAGCGTCATGACAAATGTGTCGGCAATCTCGCAACAAGTTGGACTGTTGGTCTGGTAATCAATTCGCCAAACGCCCCATTATCATAGCTAAGTGACCTTGTCTCGCTGGAAAGTGGTTTACGCTACAGGTCCCCACAGCCTATTGGAGGAGGTGAGTAAGGCATAAAACGTGGAGAACGACTTTCTACGCTCTGTGTCAAGGATTGTGTCCAAGTCATTTCACGTCGATGCCTCTGGGCGACTACACTTGCTGCATCGGCATCGTGACAGTTATGCCCAAAGAAAATGGCGGACCTCAAGGCGCCTCAAAGAAGACGAAGCTATTCGATCTCGCGTCATTGGACGACGATTTTGGGGTTCAATCGGAGGAGGTCTAGACACTGACGAGACGCTGACATGGATAAGATCGGGTGGTTCCGCGGGATAGCCAGAAATCCATCGCTCTACTTGGTTGAGGTATGCAAAAAGGGTCTTAGTAGGTAAACAAGTGCTGT